TTGAATTGTCATATTAACTTTTTTAAATTTGTAAATAATGTATCAATCTTGCTTCATATTAATATAATGTATAAAGGAGCACTTTTTACTCTTCACTAAGTCATAAATATTAAGGAATAGATTTACCTACTGACGATATATAAGAAATAGATTATGGTGTTCAATGGAAAAATATTTCCTGGTAGTTAGTAGGTTAAAATGCATTATAATATCGTGGTTTACACTATATTGTAAGAAGTTAATTTAGCTAGAATGTAGAATGTTTAGGAGGGGAGTTATTCACTGCGACCTTACAGATCTATTGTGTTTTCCCCTTTCTTGAGTTATAACGAGTTATAACTCATCATACAGTCTCAAGGCTTTAACGAAAGCCAGTATCTGAGACGGCTCCACAGAGGCCAGCTCTCCATCCTTGACATCAGCCGTACCAAAGTTCATGGCACAAATGGTTGTCGTCTCGGCGCACTCACTGATGAGGTGTTCTGGTGTTTCCCCAAATTCCCCACAGAATCTGCATTCGCCGTTGTTTCTCAGCTTCAGCCTTCTGAGATGTTCGTTGAGGAGACAGTGTCCTGTTAGAAACCCCGTGACAATCCGAAAATTGTTTTTACTTAAATCAAGGAAAACCTTTGATTTTTCTCGGTTGTAGGTTCTGAGGAACTTTTTCGAGTGTCTTAGACCGTTGGAAGATATCCATTCCAAGTTGCGGTTGGAGTTTTCCAGATTCTTCAGTTCCGCTTTCAGTTGGTTTCCGCTTGGAAAACAGAACGGTTCTGGTTCAGTTAGTGGAGTGTTCGCTCCTTTCCTAGCTAGATCATTTGCTTTTTCATTGCCTTCTATCCCTTGGTGAGCAGGCACCCAGAGTAGGAGGACTTTATTTTCTTTGCCCAACTTGTTGAGCTTCTCTAGGCATTCTTTGACCAACTTCGAATTGATGGTTACTGAGTTGATCGCGTTTAGTGCTGCGATAAATTGTACACATCTTTCGATAGCGTACATTTCTGCCTGAAGGATACTGGGGGTAGGTGCCCATTGGTTCGGAGTATTTGGTTTTCGGCCCAAATACTCCTATCCCTGTCCCTGCTTTGGTTTTGGAAGCATCAGTATACCACGTTATGGTATGGTCTTTTATATGCTGAGTAAGCGTTTCTTTCTTCCAAGCCCCTTTATTACTCAATACTACAGTGAGGTGTTTCTGAAAGTTGTAAATTCTTGGTATGTCATCTACTGGGAGAAGTGGAATTTTCTTTTTGAGGGTGTTCCAAGCCCCTGACCTAAAAATTCTCCCAGTACTGTTTCCGTCAATGCCCATTCTAATCATTGTCGCATTGGCATAACTACCGACGACAATGTGCAGAGGTGTTAGGTCTAAAATGACCTCCATTGCTGCTGTTGGACATGTTCTAATGGCACCTGTGATACAGATACATGCCAGTCTCTGTACTTTGCACATGTTTTGCCTTGCTGTACGTTGCTCTAGTTTTGTATACCAAGCAACTGTTCCATTAATTTAGCTAAAGAGTTGAACTCGCATTTGAACTCACTGAAAAATCATTCACTGATTTGCTTCTACAAACAAAATTAAATGATAAGAGCGTTGATAAAAGTCTACAACTTGATGATATTTATTTAGATTTTATACGTAGTTTTTTTTTGGGTCATTTCAATAGCTTAATATTTATTGGAGATAATCGTTTTTCAAGAAGACAGTAACGATTTTGGTCTTCATAAGCTCACCTATGAAATTTTGGTTATTATTTTTGTAATATCACTGTCATTGAAAAGTAATATTATTCTTTGTTTGGTAGTTATTCTAGAAGGAATAGTTTTAAGTGCCAGAAGTTGATCTCTATATATCATCATTAATTAAAACTATTGCCGATACAACGTCTGAACTGAACAACTGATGACATTACAAAAACAATAAACACTATTTCAAAAGTGTGTTCATTAGGACCAGAAAGAAACGCATTCTTTTAGTACTAAAATTGTTATTAATAGTTACTCTCTTATCCAAAAAAGAACACCTCCAACAAAAAAATCTATTCAGATGAATCAAAAACCACACTATCGAGAAAAGCTGCATCTTGATGACAAAGCAGTATTTAAATTTGTTACTTTGGTAAAGTATGTATCTAAATGAGACTCCAAAAATGAAGAAGATCATGCAGAGAACTAGGAATACCACTTAACAACGAAACAACTCTATACAACCCTCACTTTACAGATGATTAAGAAGTAGGGCACAAGATAAGGAAAACATAAAGAAAATAAAAAAAGACTAAGAAGATTCTCTGAAATAGACACCATCAGAAAGAAAAAAAGGAAGGCAAAAAAGCAACATGGATTGGAGGAATACAAAAAGCTATGTCAGAGAGGAATCTTCATCCAGAGGATTGGGGAATAGAAGACGCTGGCAACTAGGTATCTGGATAAATGAAATGAAAGGGTAAACTATTTCATGAGGTGTTTTAAACAAGTAAAAGCAGGGAATAATCTAACACGGGACATACTAACACCAGGAGGCATTAGACAAAGAGACAGTTCTTAGCCTCTCCTTATTCAATCTTTTAATATACATCATCATAGAAAAGGTGACCTCGATGAATATCGGTTATCAAATGGGACACAACAGAGTTAGCATGGTGTATTACGTCGATGATGCAGATATTATCGCGGAAACAGAGGACGATATGCAGAGACAGCTTCATAGATTCTATCAAGTAAGCCGAGAATTAAATATGAATACCTCTACAGAAAAAAAAAACTAAATGCTTAACTTTCTCTAAAGAGCCGGTAAGATGCAAACTGGTAGTAGAAAACAAAATTATTGAGCAAGTGTCACAGTTTAGATACCTAGAAATAAATATGTCGAATGCATGATCCAGAGAAAGATTTGAGAAACCAAATAAACGGAGCAACGGCCAGGTCAAATGTCAGGATGTCTGAGGCAAATAGTGTGGACAAACCTCTTCCCTATACGAACAGAGCAAAATTAAAATTTATAAGACCTGCATCGAACCAATAATGACATATGGCATAGAAATCTGAGAGGAAATAAACAAAACTAAAAGCATGTTAAGAGTCACTGAAATGAAGAACCTAAGAACCGTATGGGGAAGACTAGAAGAGATAGAATTAGAAAAAGAAATATCGGCCAACAATGTGATATACAGGACGTAGTGAGATGTGGTAGCAAAGAAGGCAATGGTTCACATACGTAAAACGCATGGAAGAAAACAGGCTACCACGCTCTTGAAGGGAAGCTTATGGGCAAGAGACAGCCGGGAAGACCTCCAAAAAGATGGAAAGACAGTTGGCAGTTCATCTCCTAAGAACTCCTACAGAGGCAACCTTAAAACTAACAGATCGACTAGATCTCAAATAAGTGGAAGAAGAAGTTTTAAACTTTCGCCAAAATAACATTTCGTTTTCTTTGTATAATATACAGATGATGTCTTTAATTTATAACTTTAAAATATATATAAAAATTTTACGGTGCAATGTTTCATGGAAAATATTATGATTCTTTCTTTTTTATGTATTTTTATTTATGGTATTTGATTATGTTTATAAACCTTAATACTAACTATATTGACTGTAATTCTAATCTCTCTACTATATCCCCTTTTTATTCACAACGATAAGCTACACCATTCGATTTTGATTCAGCGGGTTCGCTGACCCGAGATGAAAAGGTGTTTAAATTCGCCATAATCCGCATCCACACGTTGAATAGGTAAAAACGTCCACGGACACAATGCCAATCGGACCCTATCCGAAACATAAATAGAACAAATCGCCCTCTACCTACAAATCTGTCACCGGTTTACAATGCGAGCGTGCGCCAAGTGAACCGTTACGTAATGTATAAAGTAAACTTCAACCGGTTTCTTTTCGGGAGCTGCCTGGCCTTTCCCCAGTTCCCGGTTTAATTGTGATTTATAGTGTGGCACTTTGGTTCTTTCGGCTTTGGAGGAGCCGAAATCGTGTTCGTTTAAGTTGAGTACGCATTAAACTTAACGACTTTAAAATTTGATCAAGGAAACTTAATAGTGCGTGTGAAATATATAATTTAATAAAAGGATTGACTAAAAATATAATTAAATGAGAGAGCAGTCAGAGTAAATTCATTGACAAAGGAAATAGAATCTAATATTCTTACACTAGATCATACACTAAGGCCCGGTTGTACCAAAATAAACTGAACGAGAGTTCAACTGATCTGTTGGTCAAAGTTGAACTTGGATTGCGTTGCACCAACTCGCGTTCAGTAGAACGTCGATCAATATTTAGTTTCTTATGTTGGTATTGAATTTCACAGTAACTTTTGGAGTTTTTATATAAGTTGGCGTAACTGCTTTTAAAAGTTTGTTTTATTGATTGGCGGGTTCTCCCAAAATATAAATTATGGTACCTTTTTTCCTTTCTGTTGCCATAAAATACGACTTTTTAATACCTGTTCGCGGCTGACCGATTCGTTCATTTACTTTTTAGACGTTCTAGCTAATACATCTGTACATCATACCTTATTTTTTATATTATATTATTATATAAAAGTGAAATCTATATTTAGAGGGTATGTAAGGGGTTTAACAAAAAAATTAACAGATTGGAGTAGTTCAAAAATTGAACTAGCTGAGCTTCAAAAGAAATGTTTCCTAGAGCAGCACAATTTAAAAATGTCTCAAATGCAAGAAAAGCAAGAAGCCTTTATGAGGCAGCAAGAAAGGGAGCATGATGAGAGAATTCAATTTTTAAAATTTAGCAAGGAACTAATAAAAAAAATAATTGACCAATAAATACTCTGTAAATATATAATTATTAAAAAATATTATATAAACACTTAACACACAATATATATGAATTTTGAAAATATGCATACATATTATATCGTTTTATTTCTTTTACATATTACATATCTAGTACAAACAAGTATACTGAATTGTATTAATTTAATATCATTTATTAATTAATGTTATTTAATTATCTACTTATAATCAGAATTATCAAAAATATAAAAATAATCCTATACATACAATAAAAAATATTAATATTATATACATAAATCAAAATATATACAAGAGTATGTAATGGTAATTTATTTTACGGTAATTATAATCACAATTTAATTAATTAACAAGTTATTTTGACTTTAAAACATTAAGACATTTTAAGAATGTTTTAGTAAAATAATATTGAAACATTTTCTAGACGTAAATAATTAGTTCTAGATGTAAATAATTAATACTCAGCAATATATTCTATATCGTAAAATAACATATTTAGAGTGATTCAAAATATCCATTAATTAAACTATATCTAACACTATTATTTATACCACCCAAGTCATTTGGAACATGTTCTCCTATATTATTTCCAATGTTTATTTCCGCTTCAATTTCATCAGTTACTAATGGTGTTGGATCTGCAAAATGACACGCTATGTTATGAAGAACAGCAGCGGAAACCACTATTGCTTCTACTTTATCAACATTTAAACGGATTCCTGTCGCTAATATAGGAAATCTTCTTTTTAGTACACCAAAACACCTTTCTATTGGGTTTCTTGTTCTTATCTGAGCTTCGTTAAATAAGTTTTCAGCCCTCGTTGTTGGATTCGCCAAAGGGGTTATTAGGTATGGTTTTACTCCATACCCACTGTCTCCTAGTAATAAATTATTTCCATAAACTCCATTTTCAAACTCAGCCTTTACTCTAGAATTTCTAAAAATCATTGAATCATGTGTAGAACCAGGCCATCTACACACAATGTTAGATATTTTCAAATCGCTGTCACAAATTGCTTGGACATTAAATGAAAAAAATCCTTTCCTATAGCGGTAATTCTCTGCATTTGCCCCTCCAGGAGATTGTATCTTCACATGCGTACAATCAACTGCTCCTATGCATCTTGGAAAGCGACAAATATTATAAAATCCTTGTGCCTTTGAATCTTCCACTCCCATTGGCATTTTAATAAAGTCCTTGCTTAAAGATGCTATAGCTCTAGTTACTTTTGTAATCACGCGGCTCGTAGTAGACTTGTCTACACCACTGATATCACCAACACTTTGTAGAAAACATCCTGTTGCTAAGAACCGTAATGTGATAAATACCATGTCAGCTGGTGTTAAAGCATCATTTCTAAAAATAAAAGCTTAAATAAGATACAGTAAATATACATAATTAAACTTACTTGTTTGTTTTAGATGCAATTAAACCGGAAATTTCCTCTATTAAATAATTCACAATAGGTTTAGCAAGTCGAAATCTTTTTTTAAAATTCAAGTCATTCCATTTTTCGAAATTGTTTGGTCGAAATCGTACTGTTTGTGGTCTCCTTAGCCGCTCATGTTGTCTCACTAATTCTAAAAAGTCTTCGTCGTCAGTTAATTCACCTAATAAAGGATCCATTACGAAAAATCTTAAGAACAATAACAAAACGATAATCAAAACAACGAAAAGCGGAATATGTCAAATAATAAGGTTATGTCTACCCCTGAACGACGCTTGAACCAGCTTGAACCGCCTAATGTCACCGTTCAGTTGACCGGGCAATTTGAACGGCGTTCAGGCTTGGTACAACGCATGTTTTGCTTTGATCGTCGTTCACAGTTGATCTGTCGGTGAACTTCGTTGGTACAACCGGGCCTAAAGCTAATAGTGAGAACTAATAGTTCTTAAATTGGTCTTGATTAAACCGCAGATGTCTGAAAGATAAGCAAGTAAAGTAAATTTTAAGTTAACGTCTCTTTTCTGCTGCCAGGGCTAATCTGAACGGGGCCTACTTTGTTTACGCCGAATCCGAACCGCGGTTATCGGCCATTTCATGGTCAATGGCCTACCGACTTGGCGGGTGTCTATATCAACTGTTACTCACGAGATATACGATCTTATCCGGCCTCTAACCGGCATGAAGGAGCAGTGTGTGTCAATAGATTTTACACTCTTGCCATGGAACAACAGCACGACAGAGTTTCCAGACCGTCACCCGTCCATTCACTAGTATCGCCTTACGTCGTTTAACTTCGGTGATCTATCGGGTTGTCTGAAAGGGCTCCCTCTCTCGTTTCATTGTACAGCTGGTTCCAATAAAATTGAGTACGATATAAAACATATTTTTATTATTTCGGGCAGTATATATTCTATGATACCAGTCCCCCATTTCTCTATTCATGTCATGCTGACGTTCTGAAAAATTTATTTGCCACTTAGTCAAAAGCAAAGTTGTTTTATACAATGTCACAATAACCTTAACATATCAAAATACTTGACACATAAATATACACTGCCCAAATATTCGAAAAAAATGTGTAAAGAGTCGTATTCATTTTTATTGGAACCAGCTGTACATCGGCTCCCGCTTTACCTATAGGGATAATTTCTCGATTTAAAAGATACCCGCATGGAGGTCAATTCTTCTTTTGTGCTTGCGTCGCTGTCTTAATTACCAAATAGAATCTAAAACTCTTGATATTTTATGTGACTGTTCATGAAATACATGACACTTCAAAAAAACTAACTGCACCAGAACTGGAATGGAAACCAACATAAACCGAAACTGAAGAACCCGGAGGACCTGGAATGGGAATCCTCCAACGGTCTAAGACACTCGAAAAAGTTCCTCAAAACTCACGACCGAGAAAAATCAAAGATTTTCTTTGACTTATGTAAAAGCAATGTTTGGATTGTCACGGGGTTTCTAACAACTGTCTCCTCAACGAACACCTCAATAGATTGAAGCTGAGAATCAACGGGAAATGCAGATTCCGTGGGGAAAATGGGGAAACACCAGAACACCTTATCACTGAGTGCGCCGAGACGACAACCGTGTATGCCATAAACTTTGATACGGTTAATGTCGAGGATGGAGAGTTGGCCTCCCTGGAGCCGTCACAGATACTGGCTTTTGTTAAAGCCCTGAGGCTGTATGATGAGTTATCTTTATATATATATATATATATATATATATATATATATATATATATATATATATATATATATATATATATATATATATATATATATATATATATATATATTATTCTTTCTTTTCTTTGACCTCACAATATATATTTTATTTAATTTTTTTCTTGGCTTTAGGTGAGGTAAAAATGAGAAAAACGGTTTTTTTTATATTAAATATTTCATTGACGTTTCGATCTGGTAGGGTCTTTATCAAAATTTATTACTAAAAAAAAAATTTATAGTCACATTATGAACGTACTAATTAAAAATAATAGTAATATATATATATAAAAATTCTATTTTGTTACCTTGAACGTAGATTGTTTACTTATTACAACATTATCAATTTCATTCTGAAATCTATTTTTATAAGGTGGCGTGAGAGAAAAAAAAATATATATAAAAAGCCTACCTTAGCGAAGAAACCAGAATATCGGACCCAGAATATCGACAAAACGCGATAATTAAAGCTAAGGATGCTCTTAAATTAAATAGCTACCCACATGACATAATTAATAACATTTTTAAAAAACGAATTCGCAAATTTTACAACTCACACCAACATAGTAAACCTATAAATAAGGACAATAAAAAATACATTTCTATCCCTTTTGTGAACGGACTGTCACAACAAATAAAACATTTACTTGGTAGTTATAATCTCAATGTATGTCACAAATCACACAATTTATTGGCGAGTAATTTTTCAAGGCTCAAGACAAAAACACCGAAAAACAAAAAAAGCAATCTAATTTACGAAATACCCTGCAAAAATTGCAGTGGAGTTTATATAGGACAAACCAGTCAGTATCTTGTAAACCGTTTAAAAGGTCATAAATACGACAAGAAAAATAAAACAGCCCTAACTTTGCATGAAATCCAAAAAAATCACAGTTTTGACTTTGAAAGTAAAAAAATAATTGGCACCGAATATAACACCAAAAAAAGAGAAATTCTTGAATCTATTGCTATCCAAAAAAACCAACACTCTGTTAATGATAGGATAGATATAAACAACCTGAGTAAGATATATTATTCAGTGTTGTAAAATCCATTAAATGTGTATGTCTCTTTGCAAAAATTGTGACGACTTTATTGATATGTTTGTGTTATGTGTGTGGAAACCAATGTTGGATATATTTCTTCGCTAAGGTAGGCTTTTTATATATTTTTTTTTCTCTCACGCCACCTTATAAAAATTGATTTCAGAATGAAAATGATAATGTTGTAATAAGTAAACAATCTACGTTCAAGGTAACAAAATAGAATTTTTATATATATATATATATTACTATTATTTTTAATTAGTACGTTCATAATGTGACTATAAATTTTTTTTTTAGTAATAAATTTTGATAAAGACCCTACCAGGTCGAAACGTCAATGAAATATTTAATATAAAAAAAACCGTTTTTCTCATTTTTACCTGACCTAAAGCCAAGAAAAAAATTAAATAATATATATATATATATATATATATATATATATATATATATATATATATATATATATATATATATATATATATATATATATATATATATATATATATATATATATATATATATATAAGAATGGGGAACACACAATAGATCTGTAAGGTCGCAGTGATTAACACCCCTCCTAAACATTCTACATTCTGCATCAAAAAAATATCAAACCTTTTTTTGAACGTCGATTATTGATATTACTTCCATAAGCCGTGATTATGGAAGTACTCTTTTTCTATTTTGAAGACTTCAGATGTATTAATGTTATACTTTTCATTGAACATTACGTGGAATTCACAAATAACCAAGACAAAGCTTGTAAATTTTCAAGAAGATAATGAAAAGCTTAAAAAAATGAGGTTAATGAATTGACATAATTGTTTTAGCATCAGTACCTAGCAATCACTAAAATCCTTTGACATACTATTAATAATTGAAATCATTTGAATAAACGTAAGTTGCTTGTTATTTATATGAACAAATATTAACCACAAAAATAAATTACTATCATAGGCCTAAAAATTATGAAAAAAAATCATAATTCAAAAAGTATCAAGATTATCTCTATAGCTAATATTACACGAGCCAGTAGATGCCGTTCTGTTCGCAAATGTTACATATATAAGAAAAAGAAAACTATTATAAACGTATCTACATATTATCAATTTAAAAATACTTAAATCTCTGAAAGTAAAAAACTTTGAAAATATAATATAATACCTATATACGGTAGTACTGGTTATTTTCTTTAGAAAAAAAATAGGTACACCACTGGTCACCCCTTAAGTCAGCTTATAGAAAGACTGCGCAGGGGAGAGAAACCCAGAGTGTCATTTTACTCGGCACACGTTGGACACACGTCCCTAATCCCGTGTGCGAATGCAGTCGTTCAGAATGATTATGTTAATTTAACTTCACACCTTCGTTCTTTTTCCTACCAAATTATATTTCAATGCACAGCTCACAAAAACAGCCATCCAATAGTTTTTTACTTACAACCCGTTCTTTTAAGTATTTTAGTATGTAATTTAGATAAAAATGTCACTTAAACACAACAAAAATGCTACATCTTCGTTATTTTTTCTACTTAATCGAATTTGAGTGCACAACTCAGAAACCTTGCAAGGTACACCCTCCGCTCTATTCGGAACTTTGTATATTATGAGTTGTAAATCTTATTTTAGAAAGAAATTTAAATATTTTAAATTTAAAATTATTTTTAATTTAAAACCAAGAATACTAAACAACAACAAAAATAATAAATTTAAAATTAATTTTATTTAAATTTGTTATTTTTTTCCACTCTTTTTTTTCCACTTTGCTATTTCATGGCACTTCTAGTTTGCACAGAAGTGGCTGCAAATTGGTTTATTTTATATAAAATTGATAAAAATATAAAACTAACTTTTCCGCGCATGTCAAATTACATGCAAAAAAGAGCTATTTTCATTTCCGTGACTATTTTATGTTCTACATAAAATGTGTTATTGTTATTATTGGTAGTATATTAAAAAGATTATGGAGCTGAGAACTAATTTTTAAGGCAAATTAATTTTCTGTTAGTGTTATTATCGATGTAATGTATTAGGGTTTTAAATCCAGAAAGGTCTATTAAATACACACATAGGCCGGGTCCTAGAACTTAAAATAATACTAAAAATAATTTCCCGCTCGTTTTTCCATCACCCCTCGACGATATCGCCTTTCTTAATGCTCGAGTTGATGGATTCAGAAGCATACATACACTCACTTTCATACGCACGCTCCCGTGCACGCACCGCTGCATCCTTATCAAAACCACGTGGAACAGAATAGCACTTTAATTGCTCACCTATTCTTTAGCCCGAGCTAGCAGCATCGCGTAACAATGGCTCCCCACGAGATTTATGTTAATGCAGTTCCGGATAAAATAACAATTTTTATAGATTGGCAATTATTGGCGAACGTCGCTTTTTGTGATAAATTCGACGGTAGGGAGAAGATAGAAAGGACGAGATAAATCTATCCCTTTAACATTTATGTGTGTATTTTGGTAGAGGAGCCGCGCCGAATTTTTATTGATGGTCTAGTGGACGTGCGAGAGAAATGATGTCCGATAAAAGGTAAGTTTGTATAGGAAATAAATGGGGCAAACGAAGGAAATGCGATCAGCTTTAATAAAAATAAGTGTGTAAGTAATCTCTTTATTTTCGAGACA